GGGGGGAGGGAAGAGGAATGTAAATGGAGATTTTTGATTAATTTGGACCCAAAAGTGAAATTCAGTAGTAAGAACCCCTGCTTATCAAAGCCAGCTCAGTATATTTTGGCCAAGTCTACACTGCCACTTTACTGCACTGCAACTTTCTGGCTCGGGTGTGAAAAAACACCTCCTCACACCAAGCACAGCACTGCAAGCACCAGGTGACAGCAGTGATTTTACAGCTACCAGAACGGTTAGCAACTCCCCTCATGAAGGTGGTTTACCCATAGTGCTGGAAGAGCTCTTTTTCAGTGTTGCTGCCATGGCCACAATGCCATGTTAAAGAGCTGTACTGGCAGCACTTTACACTTTTAAGTGTATACAAAGCCTCAGCTTAAAGTATTGTCTCTCTTCAGAGGATACCATCGGGCTCTCCCATGTATTATAACTCAGTAATTTGCCTCAACTCACATTTGTTAATACCACAATACAATATCTGTATAAAAAAGTGTTACTGAGTTGTTCAAATCAGAAATACACAACACATGCCTGTTTCGCAAAACTGATTTTAAGTGACAATCCCAGTGTGGTCGCAAATGCTTTCACACCTACATTCTGGTATTATGTTTTCCCCACCTGTTGGTTTCTCTGTTATGGCACACTCCTTTCCCCTCCCCCTGCACATACAGGTGAGGAGAGAGAGATTTAAGACATTCGTTCTTGATTTGTGTGCAGAATTGTGGAGGTGAGGAGAACACTGGAGTTAAGGGGAGAGCTGCAGACTCCTGTGGGTATGAGAAGAGGGCAAAGTATCTGAACTCTCTGCCCAAATGCACAAGGAGACCCATAGCCTAGGTACATACTGAGGGCACAACACTGGAATTTAGAGTCAGTGTCTACGTGTTTATTGAAACATGGATGTTACAGCAGTAGCTTAGAAGATCTGAGTTCAAGTCTCTGCTCCTCAAGAGACTGCCCCTGTGATCTTGGACAAGTTACGTAGCCACCTCCATGCTCAAATCAGTAAAACTCATGGGCTATGTCTAGACTGGAAAGTTTTTCCGGAAAATCAGCTGCTTTTCCAGAAAAACTTGCCAGCTGTCTGCGCTGGCTGCTTGAATTTCCGGAAAAGCACTGACGATCTCATGTAAGATTGTCAATGTTTTTGCAGAAATACTATGCTGCTCCCATTCGGGCAAAAGTCCTTTTGCGCAAAAGGGCCAGTATAGACAGCTGAGATTTGTTTTCCGCAAAAAAGACCCGATTGCAAAAATGGCAATCGGGGCTTTTTTGCAGAAAAGCGTGTCTAGATTGGCCACGGACACTTTTCCGCAAAAAGTGCTTTTGCGGAAAAGCATCCTGCCAATCTAGACGCGCTTTTCCGAAAATGCTTTTAACGAAAAACTTTTCCATTAAAAGCATTTTCGGAAAATCATGCCAGTGTAGACGTAGCCATGGATCATAGCACTTTGACAGAAATGTTAAACAGTGTTCGGTGCCCAGATACAAGCATGCAGGGGGGCGATATAAGTACCTAAGATGGAGGTGAGCTAATGTCTCATCACAATTTAGAGTCAGCATAAGGTGCGGGTTGCCCCACATTTCAGCATTACCCAAAGAAAGACTCAGAGGCAGTTGTACAACTTCATACCACCATCAAATATACGGGGAAGGAGAGCGCCATGCCTCACAATTAAGCTTTTTTCCTGCAGTTGGGCCAATGCTTTGAAAACCAGGTGCCTAAAGGCAGGCCCCACGATCCTTACGGAGGCATCTGGAGAGGCCGACTGGCTGAAGTTACCGCCGCACCCCGCACCCGGCGCGGGGAGCTGCAGGCGATCAGCCCTCTGAAGATCGGGGCACATTTGTTCAGCTTCCCAAAGTCGTATTCGAGGGGCAGCTTCAGGCAGGGAGGCTTGAAAACGCTCCCAGCGCAGGCATGGTGACCCAGCCCCAGGTCCCCAGGGGGATGCGGCTTCAAGGAAGCGAATTAGCTACTCACCCGCTGCGCCTTCTCCCAGATCTGGTTCAGCTTCACCACCCTGAATGCCACGGCCTCCGGGCGCTTGGGGCCGCCGCCTGCAGCTGCCTCATTCGCCTCCCTGGAGTACTTACTCCCCTGGCCCCAGACCACCAGCAGCAGAGAGAAGCTCAGAGCCAGCAGCTCCCAAACGGCGGACATCGCCCAGCCCGTCCGTCCTGCTGCTGCTGCTGCAGAGTCGCCCCAACAAGCGGCCGGACCGAAGAGGAGACCCACAACCCCGGCAATGCACTGTTCCTCCCTGCTCTCGTTGTGCCGTGGAGACACAGGAGAGCTTTACAAAGCCGCACTACAAGACCCAGGGTGCATTGCACACGGGGCGGGCCAAGGGCCTGATTGGGAGGCTCTGAAGGTCCCAATTCAACAACCAGCGTCGGTGTGAGTGAGCCCGCGGGGCGGCTTTCTGCAGGCCCCATGCAATGGTGTTTGCTAGTTCGGCGGCAGGCCGCAGCTTCGGCATCGAACACATAGGCTAGAAATGGTTTTTTGTTTTTCTCTTTGGAGCAGAGTTTCTAGGGGGAGCCCAAAGCAGGCTGCTGCGGGCCTGCTGCAAGCAGCTCTTACGGTATCTATGTAATCTGCTTGCGTGTGGTTTATAACGAAAAAGATCTTATACCCTGGCCATGGCTTTTTGCTCAAGAACAGCTGTTCTTGCGCAAAAATTTGGGAGCATCTACACTGCACGTCTGTGTCTAAACTGGCCAGTTTTTCCGGAAAATCAGCCGCTTTTCTGGAAAAACTTGCCAGCTGTCTACACTGGCTGCTTGAATTTCCGCAAAAGCACTGACTTCCTACTGTAAGAAATCAGTGCTTTTTGCAGAAATACTATGCTGCTCCCATTCGGGCAAAAGTCCCTTTGGGGCCAGTGTAGACAGCTGAGATTTGTTTTGCGCAAAAAAGCCCCAACGAAAAAAAGCCCTGATTGCGAAAATGGCGATCGGGGCTTTTTTGCAGAAAAGTGCGTCTAGATTGGCCACGGATGCTCTTCCGCAAAAAGTGCTTTTGCGGAAAAGTGTCCGTGCCAATCTAGACGCTCTGTTCCGAAAATGCTTTTAATGGAAAACTTTTCCGTTAAAAGCATTTCCGGAAAATCATGCCAGTCTAGACGTAGCCCACGTGTGTTCTTGTGCAAGTAAATTTACTGTAAAGCATCAGAAAAGAGGGTTTCTTGCGCAAGTGTTATTTCTCTCCCCACGAGGAATAAGCCCTCTTGCACAAGAGCTCTTGCACAATAAAGCATTGTGGATGGGCAACAGGGGTTTCTTGCACAAGAAACCTCTATCGCTAAAATGGCTATCAGAGCTTTCTTGCGCAAGAGAGCGTCCACACTGCCATGGATGCTCTTGTGCAAAAGCACATGGCAGTGTGGACACACTCTTGCACAAGACCTTTTGCACAAGAACTCTTGCACAAAACAGTTTGTGCGCAAGAAGCCTGCAGTGTACACTGCAATGTTTTTGTGCAAAAATTGTTATTTTTGCACAAAAACCTGTGTGTGTTGACACCTCAAACGCACTTTTGTGCAAGTAAATCAGTAAAACTGCAGAACAGAGGGCTTTTGCTGGTGTAGGTAAATCTTCTTTGAGGCATAACTCCCTTTTGCGCGACAGCTATTGTGAAAAAAGGCAAGTATGGATGCTTCAGAGGGGTTTCTTGCTCAAGAAAAAGCACAGGTGCACTGATGGCCGTTCTGTGAATGGCCATCAGAGCTTTCTTGCACAAGAGCATACATGCAGTGTGGATGCTCTCTTGTGCAAAAGCACATCACTTTTGTGATGCGCTTTGTGGTGTGGACGTGCTCTTGTGCAAGAAATCTTGTGCAAAAACTGTTGAGCAAGAAGCCTGCAGTGTAGACATAGCCAAAGGCTTTGTGTACACTGAGGCTATGTCTACACTCGCGGCTTCTTGGGTGAGTAATATGCAAATGAGGCTAAGTGTGGAATATTGCCGAGCCTCATTTGCATACCTAAGGAGCCACCATTTTTTTCAGAAGAGGCTCTTGCGCAAGAAGGAGCATCTACACTGCCCCTTCTTGCGCAAGAAAAACCCTCTTGCACAATGCCGTTCTTCCTGGCAAGAATCCCCGCTTCATTGACTAGGCTGGGTAAACTAGTTTACATGGCTCCATCGACGGATCCATGTAGTCTAGACGTACCCTTGGTGTTTTTTCTCTTAAAGCCCCAGCTCTTTGAGTCATGTAAGTAAGTGTAAATCTCATCTTTTCCCCTTAAATGAAAACAAAGTTTATCGTTCTTAGGGGATGGCGGCATGAACCCAGTGGGCTCAAAATACTGAAGTCAAGTAAAAAATACCCAACATTTATTATTTTTAAAAATCTCATGATTTTTAGCCAATATCATGTTAGGATATAGATTATACCATCTGAGGAAACCTCCAGGAATGTATCTAACCAAAGTTGGCAACTCTAGTACTGATACATAATTTTTGAATGCTTGGGATTGAAAGTACTGCCCAGAGATCACATGACTTGCTCAAAGTGACATAGGAAGTCTGCGATGCACATGGGAAATGAACCTAGATCTCTTCATCCCACTCCAACGTTATAGCTACTTAGCACCACCCTTTTCCCTTATATTACTGGACCACAAATAAGTACTTAGTGCCTCCTCATCTGCAAAGTGGAGATCAAGTGGAAATCCCTCATTCACAAAGATGTTTTGAAGATAAATTCAGTGATGTTGATCAGTTTGATACATTCATTAATTAGCAAATAAGGCCATATAAATACATAGAGAAATTATGGTGATAGGGCCAGTCTGTCAGCCTTCTATAAATCCCACTGGACTCCCCAGTTTAAATGAGAACAGGATAATGTTAGGATTAGCAGAGGCTCTTTTTAAGTCCCCACTATGGTGTATTCAAACGTCACTGAAAAGAGATTTTGTTCTGTGCTTTTAAATGTATGGGCAACTCTCTGGCTGCTGTGGGGGCAGCTATCTTTTGTGTTTTAGTTTAGATACAGAAAGTTACATATCAGAGAAATTTGTAATGAATACAGGATTGCAAAACAGCAAAGAGGTCAGAGAAAGTGAGTGTATTTCCTGGTTAAAAGAGGGGAAAAAGAAAGTCTAAAAGAGGAAGTCTTTGAAGCTTATGTTCACAAAGACTTGAATCATATTTTCAAGCATATCTTATTTATTCAGGACAGTGTCAAGAGAGCTTTTCTTTTATCATCATTATTCATTTTAGATTCAGTTCAAGGGATGGATTGGCTATAGGTTGCTTTCTATTTTACCAAGTCTGGTTCACCCTTGAATCTGCCCCCGTTCATGTAATCCTTGCATGTGTCATATGCTTCACAGGTGCTAGTAAATTGTCCTTCATTACAACTTTTCTTTTGTGAAGTCCTGCAAAAGGGCTGGTGGCATTTTCAGCATCCATACTTTGCAAAGTTCAATAGAGTCTGCTGCAGAACCTGTAGGGCTGTATTGATCTTTAAAGATCTGAGGCAGTCTACAACTGTTAAATATACACAGAATTTTCATCAGTTCCTAATACATTTGGCAAAACATTATTAAACACTCTGGGGCTACGTCTACATTGGCCCCTATTCCATAATAGGGATGCTAATGTAGCACTTGGGAATAGGCAAATCCACGGGGGATTTAAATATTCCCCGCGGGATTTGCATTTTCATGGCTGCCGCTTTTTTCCGGCTTGTAGATAAGCCAGAGAAAAGCGCCAGTCTGGATGCGATCCTCCGGAAAATAAGCTCTTTTCCGGAGGATCTCTTATTCCTACTTTCAAGTCTGAACGCGATCCTCTGGAAAATAAGCTACTTTCAAGTAGGAATAAGAGATCCTCCAGAAAAGCACTTATTTTCCGGAGGATCGCGTCCAGACTGGCGCTTTTCTCCAGCTTATCTACAAGCCGGAAAAAAGCGGCAGCCATGAAAATGCCTATTCCCAAGTGCTACATTAGCATCCCTATCACGGAATAGGGGCCAATGTAGACACAGCCTGGCTGTTTTTCTGAAGAGACAGTGAAACTGTGATGCACGAAATTAAAAGTTCAGAATGTGAAAATCACACTGTGACACCCTGTAGAAAGACTGCAGCACATGTACACACCTGATCTACTTCATAAACGCACACAGCAATGGCATTTACACAACCAAGAAAAATGTGCCACTTGTGAACATGCCAAAAGACAAATGGAGTCAAAGACCCTAGGAGAATTGCTTCAGTTCATGTAGTGTCTATGCATGAGGCTGGAAACACAAAGGTAATACAAGCACTGTTTATTAGCAGCTTATATATATGGTCACTATCTACTTTCTCATAGGCTATTGTCCTGGCACATCTCTGTATTGTGTCGGAGCACTTTGCAGATTAATAAAGGTTCCTAGTGAACTTAATGGAATCTTTAGCCCTTTTCTCCCTTTTCTAATTAATTCACGGTAGGTTTTTTGGTTGTTTTTTTTTGTATGGGCATAAGGTATCGGGGAGCAGCAGGGATGTGTTGCTTGTTGAACACATTCCTTTGGTTCTGATGAAAAACCTGTACTAAAAGGGAAACTAACAGCCAGAATCTGGACCAGTCTAATCTCATCTGGAAAGTTCATTTCCATAGCTTGTTACTTTTGGTCAAGAATCTCTTATCTCTGATTTTCTTGATCTTTGTCCTGTTTGCTTTGACCTTCATTAGACTAGAGGACAGAAACTGTCTTAGCAGTTCATACATGATGAAGTATTTATTGTAGCTGACACTTGGCCAGTTAATGGCTTTGAAAACTAGGACCAAGGCCTTGAACATCTTAGATATCTATCTTTACATTGTACTCAACACTGCAATCGGAACTCCTTTTTTTAAAGCTCAGCAGTGCGGGCAATACTGTTACAGCTTTTGCATATGCATGGATGCTCAGTGTGATATTTGATGAGTTTCAGTATGTGGTGTCTATATCAAGGTTCAGAATATTTCGGATGGGGAGAGTCTCCATGGCGTTTATATTTAAATATATAGTTAAGTATTTTGACTTTTCATTTTGTTCCCTTTCTATAGTTCCAGATGCTTTCCCAGAAGATTTTTAAAAATCTGTTTCTAATGGAGCTTGAAATTACTGTGGCTTTTTGCTTATGCCAGAGATCCATTATATCAGGAACTTTAGAGATTCCTAGGGGATGAGTTCTGCGTCAGATACACATTAGCTTTTCACTGGTATAACTCATCAGCTTCAGAAGAGCTACTTTTGATTTTCATAGCTAAAAGTTACAGAAAAAAACAATCTGGGTGCAACAAAGTCTCTTCTCAGTGTGTTACAGACTGATCATGTGAGCTACTGGGCACTTCTTGTAATATAAGGCCTTCAGCTCTCATTGACATTAGTGAGGGTTGAGAGTGCTTAGAAACTCTGCATCAGTGCTCAGGAAGGCTATGTCTAGATTGTCGGCTTCCTTCGGAAAAAAGCTTTTTTTGGAAGAGATCTTCCAAAAAAAACTTCTTCCAAAAGAGAGCGTCCACACACAAAAGTGCATTGAAAAAGCCATCTGCTTTTTTGAAAGAGAACATCCAGTCTAATTGGCCACTTTCTCACATAAAAGGCCACCCGGAACCACATCAGCCAGGGCTCTAGGTCACCAGTTGTTTCTGAGTGCTGGTGCTGGAGCCTTGCAGAGACATGCACTTAAAGGGACCCCCCAGACAGCCATTTCTCTGCTTCTGCTGCATGTTTGCCTACCTCTTCGAGGGACAGTAAAGCTCTGGAGGTGCCTGCTGTGGTTGCCCTGGTTCTTTGGACGCCACAGCTTTACTCTTGCTGCCATAGAGTTGGAGCTGGAGCTGGCCATGGCCATGCTGCCTTTCTGCAGCACTTTGTGCCAGCTGCCTTCCTGGTCCTGACCGAGCTCAGCCCCAAGCTCATTCTTGGGACCCTCTCTCTGGGTGCGGGAGCTACACTCTGGCAACTGCACCCCACAGTGGAGATGCTTTTCTGGAGGCTTGATACCAATTCAGACTGGTGGGACTGGCTGGTCATGGAGTGTCTCCAAAACTTCTGCATACGAGAGGCCACCTTTTCGGAGCTGTATGCCTGGCTCATCCCCACCCTCCAGGAACGCGACACCCACCTGCAGCCCGCCAATCCCCTGGAGAAGCGGGTTGCAATTGCCATCTGGAAGCTCACCACCCCAGACAGCAATCAGTTTGGTATGGGGAAGTCCATTGTAGGGGCCCTCCTCATGGAGGTAAGGCACTCTCGGGCTGCAGGGGGGGGAGGGTCCTGGAAAAGGGAGTTTTGGGAAAGAGGGTTTGGGGGGTGGGGTGGGGCTGGGGGGTTGTGCCATCCCACCCTCACACAGGCCTGCTGCTGGGGGTGGGGAGTCATATCAGTGGCTCCTCGGGGGGTTGGGGGGGGGGGGGAGGGGGG